TGGCACGACATACGCTCAGAACCAGCTGTGCTCCTGGTACTACAAATATTCCAAAAATTTTTAGAAGCGAATATTAGGAAAACGACACGGTTTCTCAGACTGAAATTTCAGATTTTGTATCAGGAGAGAATGATATTCGAATAGGTGGCACGACATACGCCCTGAACCAGCTGTGCTCCTGGTATTACAAGTATTACTAAAATTTTTAAAAGCGAATATCTCGTAAACGCGACGGTTTCGCAGGCTGAAATTTTAGATTTTGTATCAGGAATGATACTCGAAGAGGTTGGACGACAAACGCCGTGAACCAACTGTGCTCCTGGTACTACAAATATTCAAACAATTTTTAGAAGCGAATGTTGGGAAAACTACACGGTTTCTCAGACTGAAATTTCAGATTTTGTATCAGGAAAGAATGATATTCGAAGAGGTGGCACGACATACGCCCAGAACCATCTGTGCTCCTGGTACTACAAGTATTCAAAAATTTTTTGAAGCGAATATCTGGTAAACGAGACGGTTTCTCAGGCTGAAATTTTAGATTTTGTATCAGGATAGAATGATACTCGAAGAGGTGGCACGACAAACGCCGAGAACCATCTCTGCTCCTGGTATTATAAATATTCAAAAAAATTTTAGATGTGAATATCTGGTAAACGACACTGTTTCTCAGGCTGAAATTTCGGATTTTATGTCAGGAGAGAATGATATTGGAAGAGGTGGCATCTCGAGTGGATTACCAGGAGCTCAGCTGCGCTTATGGTTTTGGCGTGCCACTTCTTCGCCTCTGATTTTCTCCTGATCCTGTTGATTTTCTGAAATTCTGTTGCGGATATTTTTTCGATTGCTATCATTTTTCTTCGATTAAAATTGTTATGAATTGTTTGCTTATTATTATAGTTTACTTACCTTATGCTTCCCTTATTTACGTTATACGTTGTACGTTATACATTATACGTTATACTATAATTGTTCAGTAATCCTCCCGGCGGAGGATTTTGTCGTTTATTTATGAACTATTTATTCCTATAGTTCAGTTCAGACAGTGAAATAAAGAAGGGAAATATATTTGCATTGTCTAAACTAAACTTTAGGTTGCGTAGTTCTTAGCTTGATATCGTTTTACAAACATTAATGTTTGTAAAACGATATGAATTACCAAGGCCCACCACGTGGAGGTAACTACGCACGGGCCTCATTATAATGTATTGTAATTCAGTACTCTTTTATATATTTATCACACGTGTAACGACTTATATTGAATGTAAGTAATTTGTTGGAGGGAGAAAAGATTGTGGTCAAATAAGGCATAATTATTTGATCAATGTAATGTCTAATTTGAAATATTTGATGAATATTCTTGTTTAATAGTAGAAGACTGAATTATTTTCCTAATTATAGATTCAAAGAGGAATACATAGTGTATCTAATAGTATTTAAATAGCAATAGTTTTGTTAGAGTACTATGCATATGTATGTATATGCAGAAATATATCGTATATATGGCAATTATTAAAGTATGGTAACTATCAAAGCATATCTTGAACGACTGCGGTACAAGTCATGGCAACTGAGCTCGTGTTCAAGTTCAAATGATCATGATGATAATGAAAATAATTAAAATAATTCGTTAATGATGCGAAACAGTAAATTAAAGTTTCTTAGAAATGTTTTAGTAGCTCGATTACTACAAATGATTAATTAAAATTTTTAACTAGTACTCGGAGATGTTATAGAAGAGAATTTATTGTTTAATTGTTGCAAGTAAATTATTAGAAATATTAAATAATGTTTAAATAATTAGAATATTCAGAAATATTATGTAAAAATTTACTTCTAAAACTTGCGTCGATGCGTACGGAACGAAAGTTCGATTTATACTGAAAATGTGTTCTTATTTCTATACCGATTGAAATTTACCTGACCGCGTTTATCGATGGACGAGAAACAGTTTATTAAAATTTCCTACAAACGTACTAGTGACTCGATCGTTACAAATGATCAACTGAAAATTTTAAATAGTTGTCGGGAATGTTTTTAAAGGGAATTTATTATTTAATTGTTGTACAAACGAATTATTAAAAATATTAGATTGTGTTTAAACAATTATAAATGAGAATTTATTGTTTAATTGTTGCATGTAAAGTATTAGAAATATTAGATTATGTTTAAATAATTAGAATATTCAGAATTAATAATATTCAGAATTTAAAAATTTACTTCTAAAACTTGCGTCGATGCGTTCGCAACGAAAGTTCGATTTATACTTAGCTCTTATTCTCGTATCGATCGCAATTTACCTGACCGCGTGTATCGATCAACGGGGAACAGTTTACTAAAATTTCGTAGAAACGTACTAGTGACTCGATCGCTACAAATGATCAACTGAAAATTTATAAATAGTTGTTGGAAAAATTAAACAATTAGAATATTGACAAATATTATTGAAAAATTCACTTCGATAGGTTAATCGATGTAGTGCACACGATGAAGTTTCAAATGATCTTTTTCCCTGGTCAACTATTAAATAAATATTGTTTTATCACCAGTAATGCTGCGTCTGAATCGATACGACAGGATGTGACACAAAAAATGATAACGAGTCACAGGGTGCCCCGAAATCGTGGCCGAAAGAATTGTATGCAATGTCTATTCATATACCTCGTCTCTGATTAAAGAAATAGGCAACACAGAGAAGTAAGCTAACTTACGAGCAAATGAAAGAAATTAATACAAGCAGACGTGCGAGGGTTAAAAATGATTTAAGAGCAATTTACGCAGAAACAGAAATCGAAGAACCATCGAGAAATTCTCGTAGTTCACAAATACGTCTTGGACTACGTCCAATCAAGACACTCCGCAAAACATCCGCACTCTAATCAAAAGCCAGCCGTTTGAGCAGGTCAACGCGTTTCCTCGTTATATTCTGCCGGCGAGGCGTATCTCGCGCGATTCAGCGCACGAATCGACACATGTCGCGGTTCGTTCTGCCTGCGAGCGTGGCCGGCTGTCATAGAGGAGCACGCGACAATGGCGGAAGAAGCATTAGCGGGCCATCATATCCGGTGAAACGTTCACCGTCACTCCCAGCATTCTCTGTCGCAAGGTTAATTCTCTCGGTTCCGCGTCTCTTTCTCTTTCTCTTCCTCTTCTCTTCTCTTCTTCCTCTCTCTCTCTCTCTCTCTCTCTCTCTCTCTCTCTCTTTCTTCTCTCGCACGACCATAAATCGCTGACAGACTTCGCTGGGAACAATGCCGTCGTCCTTCCATCCCCTTTCGACCCCTGCGATTCTCTCCACTCTTCGTCGCGTCGTTCGTTGCTCGGGGCCGTACCTTCAGCCAGTCGAGACGACGATAAGGGAACAAAGACTGCGACGGACCTTGAACGAAACGAGAACTCACACAGCCACCTGCAACCTTTTTCCTTCGACCACTGTTTCGACCAGCCATCGACTGCCGGCACGCTATTAATATTTTAGACGCTTGCGTCGAGGCGAAATTCATTGAATGAACACTCGCGTCGCGCGTCTGGTGAACCATTCTTTACGCTCCCTGACCACGGCACAGGTTGCACATCTCAGAACACAGTATTTTTGAAAATATTTGTCTGAAGGTTGCACATCTCAGAACACAGTATTTTTAAGAATATTTGACAGTCGCAGTCTTCGCGAAACGTCCGGGTAACTATATAGGTTTAAATGAAAAAATAGAACGAATGGCCAATGAGTGAGAATAAAATTTTTGAAGGAAACGTGGTTCTCGCTACGTGTACGCGTATTGCGTACGATACGTTTAAACAAAAATAATTCCGACTCTAATTTAATTCTTAATTGAAAACAGTGCAAGTCTGAAACCTCGAACCACAAACCGTGAGGTTTCAAATCAAACGATAGAACTTCATCTTGAACTTGCAGAACGTCGTAAATCTAACACCGCGCGTAGGTAAAAACGAGCGTATATACTTTTACGTTTCCGCTGAAACTACTGTAATCAATTCCGACGCGACGATTATTATAAGAGTAGAAATACAAGAGTATGTAATAGTAGATTGTAGACATATAAGAGTAGAAAGATTTCTAAATTCTCTATTTCTCATCTAGATATTTTTTCTTTTACGCCGTGTTCACTATGTGAGAGGAAAACGTTGAAACGATATCTTTCTCTGTGCAGGCATGGCGGACAATAGTAGAAAGCATCCGGTGGTGCTGTATATCCACGGAGAAAGCTACGACTGGGGCAGCGGAAATCCGTACGACGGCAGCGTGCTGGCCAGCTATACAGACCAAGTGATCGTGACGATGAACTACCGGCTGGGCGTGCTTGGTTTCCTCAACGCCAATATGGCGCCCCAGACCAAGGCGAGGGTCGCGAATTACGGGCTGATGGATCAGATCGCGGCGCTTCAATGGGTCAAAGAGCACATCGCCCTGTTTGGCGGCGATCCCAACAACGTGACGCTGATGGGTCAAGGAACTGGAGCCGCTTGTGTTCATTTTCTCGCCATCAGCCCGACGGTCGTGCGTGGTGGGTGATTTTCTCTTCCGTTTCTCACTGCCACTAATTTTGCGAACAAAATTAAACTACATTATCTTGCATTTTGTTTCTTCACTGCTTTACCATTCAAATATTGTTATCAATTTGTTACACCATTTGAGATACTATTTTTTGAACAAGAATTCCTTTCTGTTTTCGCACGGACGAATGCTTATGCTTAACACTAGAACTACCAGGAGTGGTCAAAATGACCAATTTATAATTTTCCATGGAAATTTTGTACATTTATAACACCGTATTTTTTATAATAATTTAACTATATTAATAATAATTTAAAAATTATATAATAATTGAACTATATTAATAATAATAAAATTATATAATAATTTATCTATATTAATAATAATTTAAAAATTTAATAATAATTTAACTATATTAATAATAATTTAACTATATTGATAATAATTTAACTATATTAATAATAATTTAAAAATTTAATAATAATTTAACTATATTAATAATAATTTAAAAATTATATAATAATTTAACTATATTAATAATAATTTAACGTATTATTAATTTCTTCTTGTATCTTGCACTTTCATTTCTGTGCCACAAATATTATACTTTGTGGTAGTTCTAGTGTTAACGTGACGAACCTTAAGAGATCAACATCTCGGCGAATCGAATTATAAAATAAATCACGAAGTTTTCAAAGTCCGAACATCGATAAGAAAAAGAAATCAAACTTGAGAGTAGGTCTTCCGAGGTCGAAGTTTTCATCAAGTTATTTGAACGATTCTTGGACAACTTGGAAAAGTTACGTTGCGTGTAACGTAACAAAAATTGCATTGCTGAACCGTATTCCCAGTGTTCGGTAAAATTCTACTCGTTCTCTGTTCCGTTCGTAAATTCGCTGGCGTCGACCGGTGCTGGAACAATTAACCGGAACAACGATCGAATGTTCCGGTCGAATGTGCGCAAGGAAAAATCGTTATGCCATAAATAACGAGACAGCGGTGGTGGCGGTTACGAAGACTCTTCTCTTTCAATAGGGGAATCCAATATTTCTCGGTGATTCCTTCGATCGTGGAGCGAACCGCTAACGAGACTCTCGAGAAGAATTCAGAAGGAAACGAGCTTATGTGTGTCGAGCTGGTCTTCTGATCGACGTTGAGACTCGGACGTTTCTCGAGATGCAATTTCACGGATCGATTGATAGTCTTCTTGTCCAGGATTTACGGCGGATTGAAAAAACGTAACAAACAACGTTGGTTTACATTCTGTAGGAATAACTTTGCCAGGAGTTTTCGAACGGCTGAGCTTCTAAAAGGAACGAGCAAATATTTGACAATCTTGTACTACTTAAATCTTTTAATTTAAGCTCCTGTCGGAGTACGAATAAAAAAATTTTATAAGAAATGTCACACTCTCATCTCTGGTAAATAGTTTATTATAAAAAATAGTTAAGAAGATCGGTAGTTATTAAATAAAAAATCCAGATATAAGCAAAGTTACACAACTGTCTGACTTGTGACGATCTTGTACTACTTAAGTCTCTCGTCAACAGTTTTCAGTAGAATACGAATAAAAATTACAGTTGTTTGTTACATTGTAAGAAATCTTATACTTTTATCTTTAATAAATAATTTTCCATAGAAACCAACTAAGGAAAGTAATAGTTATTATCGAGTGATTAAATATTTGGTATGCGATAAGAACTATCACCAAAAATACAAATGAAAAATCAATTATTTGACATGTCATATTTTCAACTCCAACAAATAAATTTCCGGTAACAAATAATTAAGACAAATAATGGTTGTTATCAAGTACTGACTGAGTGGGTTGAAAGAGATGTCTGATTTATGACGATCTCTCATACTACTTGATAATGACAACTTCTATCAAAATATAAATAAAAAGTTAAGTATTTACGACGTGTTTACTACATCTTTGACAAATAATTTTCTATAAAAATTTATTAACAAAATTATTGAAAAACATACAACAAATTGAGTACATTTTACAAAATTACTTTCTGAAAAAAATCAAACAAGATGTTTCGATAAGTTCGTCCACCAGTTGATATCGACTCACGTAGACCTCGCTTCTATCGTTATTCACGCGAATCGAATCTTCTTGAATAACTCTTCACGTATCTTCGATAAATTCTCTCCTCATCTTTACCAACCACCTGTAACAAGAAAGCATCGGGGATAAAGTAATTTTCGACAGAGAGATTGAAGCATCCTCTGAAACGCATCTGCTGTCATCACATCAGATAAACGAGATAGAAGGGAACAATAAGAATAAAAAAAGGATTAGACAAATACAAAAATAGAAATATGTAAAGGAGTTTGAAAAAGTATGGGAGCTAACAAGCGGGTGCAAGTAACGTAAAGACAATTGATACAGCTATACCGGTATCATCAGTTACACATTTTATCTTTGTACCGACAGTTTTCACGATCGTCAACGATGAATCGCGAAACGCAGGATAATGTGTAAATAGACAGATAACTGCCTACGAGAACGATCGAAGGAGGAATTCTCGGTGATATTATGCGCGTGAAATATCGTTCATCTTCCCCGATGGTCACGGACGTCCTCCACGCGCTATTGGAAAATACTTGCTGCTTTTATGAGGCCGCGGAACGTCCACGATTCCGCTCTGTGTTTCTTTCGTTCGTTTTCCCTCTCTCTCTCTCTCTCTCTCTCTCTCTCTCTCTCTCTCTCTCTTCGTTTCTTTGCCGACCAACGTACCGGGCAGCCCGTCAGACTGGAATTTCTCGCTTAGTCTCGCCGATTTTCCCCCGAACCAATATTGCCCCGGACGGTTACGTCGATGAGGGCTTTCCGAATACAAAGTCGCTGGAAATTGCTGGTATAAATCTGTCTTGATAAACTGTCGGCCGCGAAGATAGCCAGCGAAAGACGTATTAATTGAGGCAATGGCTTTTGGAAGTTAACGAAACAGCTTTGTTCTTCCGATTGGATCGATGTCGATCGGCAGGTTCTAGCCAGGATTTGTGGCCGTGCATTCTTTTCGAGTGCTTGCTCGATGTTTAGACGGAAATTGGAACGATGGTCGTATCTTTAATCGTGATCGTTTTTAACGATCTGTAGAAACGACTGCATTCTCTAAATAAATATTTTATTTACCAGTAATTTAAACCTTTGCACGGCGATTGTGGTATTTAGAAGCATTTTATGTCACGTAATAGTACTCAAAAAAAAAACTGTGTAAAATAATAAACATTTATGAGTCGCTGGAAGGTTTTATGCGTCTTTTGTGCAGTAAATCTTCCTTACGTAGACTTTTATTTTTTCGAATATCTTAATATTCGAGTGTTATGTTCGAGTGTGTGCAAAATGTCTGCAGTAACTAATAGAACATCCAGTGACACAAAAATTCAGGACAGAAAGGATCGATTAACGTGCTTAATTTATTTTTTATAATTACGACGTAAATTCTCGCCTCTCAGAGAAATCTTCGTTTGATGTTTTAAAAATTTTTCGACGATCGTTGATATTGTAACATTCGCTGGTAGCAATTGCGACGTCACTTCGAACGCGATAAAGTGTGTTGTACGTGCATAAACGAGTCTTTCACCAACGGTGTATTTTCTTTGAAAATTTCTGGGATTTCTTGCGTTAGAGGCCGAGACAAGAACAGAACGGTGGCTCGATTATCCTTGCTACGTGACGGTCCGATATCGTTCTTTCTGATGTAATTTCCATCTCCTTTGTCCGGGCCGTATAGCACGTTTCCTCCTTAATGCCGATCCTGGTGGTCCTTCCGCAAAAAAGGCTCATTGTAATTTATAGTTCCATGCTCTACGTCGAAACGCAGCAGCCATACAATATAATATACAGCTATCCTCTTGTATATCTAAATTTCTTCACCCCCTTCAGATATCTTCTTTGTAATTTTACATTTCAAACACCATTGTTTCAAGAAATTTCTTATTTGACAATGCACTTTGATTTATCGATCGTTCGCGAAGACCTGTTGCAGCTGAGAAATGTTACTCGACATGGAAATTTATTAATAAATTGCCAATATTTGTCTAGGTTTATATTTTTGTAGATAACAATAACTTTAGAGACAACTTGGAAAATGGAACTTTGGTAGGAAATTGTTTCACGTGCTAAATTACTGCACTCTGAAAATTTTCCACATTTTATACATTTTCGCATTACGTGCAATTTTCGAATTTCTATAAAAAGAACGAAAATCGGTCTATCGATTAATAGTCGACAGATTTTGGCGAGATTTTTTCGCGTCCGGCGCGAACAAATGCCTGGTCACGAAGTGAATTTAACGAGAAAACTTCGGTTTTGGAAAACCAGAAACGTTTAGAGAAGCACAGCAGAGTTTTCGGAAAGACTGTTGATCGATATAGTTTCGAATCTTCTGTTTTACCGCAAATTTCTTCTCACTTTGGTAGAAGTATCTTGACTTGATCTCTCAAAATGTGAATCAAAATGATAGATTGTAAATTTTTATATACAAATTCGTACATTCACGTTTTATATTTTTATCATACCTTTTGTATGGATACATAATCTGTTTTTTGATCTCTGTGATCCTTCTGACATTATTTTGACAAACTCAATTGTTCTTCTTTCAATATCGTCCAAATAATTCCGACGTACTGGTGTTTCAGCATTGAATACTAACTATTCATGAAACGTATGAAAAATGACGTGGTATTATTTTTTCATAAATCCGAAAATAACACGATTTTTTTTACAAAATCTCTCTCAATTTTCTTTTTAACAACAAACAGCAATTTCTGTTATTCTATCGTTGCTTGTTTTGTACCTTTCTACTTTCATACTGAATGATAATACTTCACAATTATGAAACGTAAATATTCCTAGTTCATTTCGTATTACTGTGTCCAATTTCTGATAAAAAATTTCTCTCGACATTGTTCGAAAATGATCTACACTCGTATTCGCTATTAATAATTGATAGAAGAGAACAATTAGTCTCCTGAACGAAACTTCGGTATCAATAGAGTTAATTTAATGCCATCGATATTAACCTGAGATTCGAAAAGCTCAAATTAAATTCAATAAAACTGAATTTAATAGATACTTTCAAAGCGTTTCCTGGTTAGATTCTATAGAGGAATGATCAAAGCGTCCCACGACTATTCGTCATTACAACCTGATTTCTCTTTCCTTGGACTCTCAAAGAGTAAATGGCAAGAGAAACGACGCGTCGCTGTTTCTCTTGGGGCGAGGAAAAGCAGAAGCTTCTTTTCCAAAATGTTTTTCAGAACTTTCTTTTCAATGGCCGTAGTTATAAAGTGCTCGTTTAATATATCTTAACATATACTACACAGTCGTTTAGGGAGAAAGAGAGGAGTTTCTTTAATTATTTTTCAGTACTTCCTTGACAGAGATGCCAAAAACGAAAGACATGTAAAGGAAAGACACACTTTGTGTTTTTAAATGGAACCACGAAAGGTTCCTGCGTGTCTCGGTAATATTGAAAGATTCCTGGTATCAAACATACCGCAGAAAAAGATGTTTTTTTTTACAACAAACAGCTACTTACGGTTGATTTTTGCACGCCGATTATGAATCTGAAAATCCATTTTTCTCCATCACTCTCTGTTTTCGGGAAAATTCAATTTCGAGAATTTATCAAACTTTATCTCTCTAAACAAAAAAAAAATTGTGTTTCCTTTTTCCCAATATTGAATTTTTCGAAAACTGCGGATAATGGAGGAAAACGAATTTCATGTTCCGTAATCCGTAATCCGGAAATGACTACTCGCCGGTATGAGAAACACGAATAAAAATTAAAATTTGTCGATCAGTGTAATTATAATGTTAAGCTGCGAGTTTTTCTGACTTTTAATTGGCAGATTTAAAAGATAAAACCTAGAAGATTATTTTACGTAATGAATATTATTTAAAGTTTTCTACTTTTTCGTATATATTTTTACACGTTACGTGTATTCTGTCCGATTTTGTATCTTAAAATTTTCTATAATTTCGTATAAGAATCCGCAGTTTAATAATTATACCTATATAATTATACATAATTATATAAATACATTTTACATAAATAATATATTACATAATATATTAATAATAAATATAAATATATTAAATTATATAATATTTATATAATTTAATAATATATTAATAATTTATATTAAATTATATAAATAATAATAATTATATTAATTTTATATATTATAAATTTTTCGAATAGCTTATAATAAATAATAATAATTATATTAATTTTATATATTATAATTTTTCGAATAGCTTTTTTTACACGATATGTCGGTACCATTTAATTAATGTATTAAATTCTATATATTCTAAATATATCAGTACGTTAAATTTAATATAGTAAATACTTGAAATATTAAATTCTACACGCAGGGTTGTTCAAACGAGCCATCCTACTGTCAGGCAGCGCTCTATCGTCGTGGGCAGTTGTCGAAGACCCTGTTTCTTACGCTATGAAGCTCGCCAAGGCAGTCAACTGCTCGATCCCCGAGGATTTGCTTAAGGACAACGAATTAATTGTCGACTGTCTCCGAGACCGAAGTCTGGACGAGCTGATGCAGGTCGATATTCAACCACCGACGTTTTTGAGCGCGTTTGGACCAAGTGTCGACGGTGTAGTGATCAAGCCAGACTTCCAGAAAGATCTGCTGTCGTACATGGGCCCGGAGTTCCAAGGATTCGGGTAAGAAACAATCGTTCCTTCTCCGAGAACGAGGAACGAATTCACTTTCAGAATAAATTAATATAATTTAAATTCTTAATAACTTAATATAATATAAATTCTTCAAAAAATCGTTTGAAGAATGAAATCACAATTACAAGAATAATGAATAAGGAAACTTATCCTACTTTGTTCAGCATGCAACATTTCTTATCGTTAAAAACGCATGTGTCAGTGTCAACGCACGATTTTAAACGTAAGCATAAATACATTTTGTTTCAGACCACTGCCAAAGAAAGCTGAACACGGTGCTCCGATCACAAGTAACAACAAATACGATTTGTTATTCGGTGTAACTACCAGCGAGGCATTATGGAAATTCGCGGAAAAGGATGTACAGCAAGGATTCGAGGGCGAGAGAAGGGACAGAATAATTAGGACGTACGTGCGAAACGCGTACGTGTATCATCTGACGGAGATATTTTACACGGTGGGTGAATTCCGATAGATTAATGAATTAACAAATTAGTCGACAGATTCAATTAATCAATTAATTGAAGAATTTAATAGACCAATTCCGACGAAACAGATTAAAGATTACGCGTGGATAAAGATACGTTTAATTTTTATCCGATTTTCTATATTACGTTCTATACTATCTTACGCTGAAGTAATTAAAACGGAGAACGCAAAATGAAGATCGCACGTTACGAGAAAAAAAAATGTATTTCGTCCTACCTTTTATTTTTTCGGATTTTTGATATTAATTGTTGGCGAACAGGATGTATTTCAGTGCGAAATTGAAATAAGTTTATGCAAATCCATTGTTATATAAATGCATCCAATAAATGTAAAATGTACATGTCGTTTCATCTGTTATAAATACCGTAAAATATAAATCGTGTTACATGTTAAATTTAAAATATAAATCGTGTTATATGTTATAAATGCGTTAAACGTAAAAATAATACTGATGACATAACTGAAAGATTTAAAAATATTGTTATTGATGTCGTGATGTAATTTATTAGATATACGCTTTATTTCTGCGCATTATTATAAAAAACGTATTGTACATTAACAAAGAATAAACCGCTATTTTCAGCCCGCCACATTAAATTCCAAGCAATTTTTAATAATTAGACTGCTGAATTAGATTGTTGATCAAATTGATTTTTACTCTTGGGAAATATTTTTCAATTTAAACAGTTCAGTTCAATTCGAAGATCATTTAATATATATAAGGTCCTACTATGCTGTTTCTTTCTAATATATTTTTATATATTATGACGTAATATATTTTTAATTCACATTTATATTTTACATTTATATTTTTTCAATTTACATTTTTCTAAAATATAATTTCTTACATGACTTCTTTTCTTTCTTGTCACAACGCAAGATATTTGTCCGTAAATGTTTAATAAACAAATAAATATATACAATTGAATTTTAAAATCGCTTTCTTGTTGGAACTGACAATCGTAAATTATATTTTTTTTTCTCCAGCATCCTAGAATTAATTCGTTTTCTGTCCAAAATTAACTATTCTTTCTTTTAATCATCGATTTTTTTAATAAATACTCGCCAAACTATACGTACTCATACACTTGTGAAACACGCAATAACAAAAAGAACGACAATAAAAGAATATGTAAAAAAAACGTAATGATCCTGCATACGCGATGAAACAGTTTAACCGTTCGCGATCGTTCATTTTTCATAAACTGTGATAAGCCAACGATCCCGAAAATTATTTCACGCTCGTTTCGCGTGTATTCTCATAACGTTCGCTGCAAATAATAATTCGTTGCACACTCGCGGCGAAAGTACGTACTAGCCGCTGCTCTTGTTAAAAAAATATATATCGCGTATACACGCGTCTGATTATTCATAATCGTAACCTGCGATCTAATTTCGAGCGGAGCACTAACTCCTACGAGCAATTCGACCAGAGCCAAATATTTTAGCAAGGGAAATTCCATTTCACGTTTCCACGCTTATAACTTTGTTCCTCCTCCCCTCCCCCTCGGCAAAAACTATCGATGATAAATATGAAAGGCTCTTTTTGCCGTTAAAAATTGAGAATTAAACATTGAAACGAAATTGATCTGAATTGCAAGGCGAATTTTTGTTGAATTAAATCGCCAGACGAACGTCCGCATGTAAAAGTTGCACGATGCAATATACAACGTTGATACGTAGAGAAACACGAAACATTGTGTTAAAGAGAAACGTTATTACTGTTCTGCTCTCTGTTTCTGAACCGGAGGAATTTATAATATTTGTGAAAACAAGAACGGGAATGATCGAGTTTCCTACGGACGCAACGTTTGCAACGAAAAAACAATGTCGAGCGACAAGTACGGACTGCGTTTGGCAAAGAGGTTCCTATATGACAGAGAACTTTTTTTATCATTCGTGAAAATTATTGGACATTTTTCATTATAGATGGTCAACTAAGGTGCGAGGATACTTTTTCATTGTATTTCGCTTTGTCGTGGATACCTTTGTAACCTCGTCTTTAATTTAAAGGATTTCTGTATCGCCGGTCCTTTAAGCTTCGTACCTCTGCAATAGTATTTTTTACATGTATGAGTATCTTTTTTTTTAATAGTATTTTTTAAATGATATATACATATTTCTCGAAAAACTTCATGTGAATTTATGAACGTTTATAGGGCAATGTAATTAAAAAAATCTATAATACAGTAAGAAAATGGAATAATAAAATAACAAAACACGTATCTCTTTTTAATGCAGTCTCTTAAAATTCAATGAGCTTCAAATGATTCATTAAGAATCTTTCTAAACCAATTATTTTATTATTCATTTTAAAATTATCTGTATAATATTTTGGTAGAGATTGGACACTCTAAAGGACTGAAACGCTCGAATAATATTTTTATGTTTGCCATTCTATTGTGTGCAATGGTCAAGGCTTATTTAACGTTCGAAGTAGAAGCACGACATTCTGATCTTTAATCTGTTTCCATTATTTTTGCCAATGAATCAGGTGGTGAATGAATACACCGATTGGGAACGTACAGTGCAGCATCCAGTGAATACGAAGGACGCCTGTGTCCAAGCACTAAGCGACGCCCAGTTCGTGGCTCCGTTAGTGCAAACTGGCGACCTGTTCACTCTAAGGCACACGAAGAAACCGAATAACCCTCACATCGCGCCGATCCCAGAAAGCGAAAAGGAACCACTGCCAAAGACCTATTTCTACGTGTTCGACTATCAGATGAAGGATGGAGACTATCCTCAGGTAAGTGGTTGTTCTTTGACAAGCCTGAAAAGAAAACCAATGACACAATGAACAAGAAATGAGAGAAAACACACGCAGAAATAAAAATGGAACAAACCTTGACTTTCGTCGATTCGTTTGTTTCTTTAAATTGACAAGTGCCATGTAGCAAATGTTGAAGAATATAGCGAGAATTCGTCATGAAACGTTTCTTTTTTTTTCTTTTTTTTTTTTTTGTAATATTTTTCGAGACGAAACTCTTCGAATGAAACTGGATATTAATTCTAAAAAAAATTGGTGACTTTTCGCCGTCAAAATCTCATTCACCTCGTCGATATCTCTATTAAGGGATCTATTTTTCGCTTTGCGTTATCCGGCAATCATCGATAATGGCCCGATAAGTCATCGATACTCGCATACGTGTATACGATTATAAACTATTTAACAAGGTATTATAAAGCGCGCAACTTTACGAGATAATTAGATTCGAAACGCATCTGCGCGCGCGCACGCGCGCGCTCCCTCCCACCACGCCGTGGATAAATTAAACCCGCGTAACACCATTAATAACTCGATTGCTATGACCCAACTATACGCGTTGTTCCTATCTTGCGATTTACTCGGTGTTGGATAAATTTTCGACTGAGCCGGTAAAATGATGGCGGAAATATTTTCTCCGTAATTTTCATATTTGTACGAGGAATATTAGGAAACAAATGGCGGCGTATTTCCAACTGCAGACACAGAAAAGTGATATTACAAATAAATAGACAAGAGAAATAATATTGATAAATATTGTAAAGTTGTTGCTAGTAATAAATATAATCTCTAAAACGAGAGGTTTTTATCCATAAAAGAAGTATTCTCTTGCAAATTGAAGAATTTGAAAAATTGCGCGTCGGATCAGGTTGATATTTACAATTTAATTTAATCTTTGATATTTTTAAATATAAACTTAGGATTTGCAAAACTATGCATTGTTTTGATGAGAGTAACAAGCTCTGAATCAAAAATAACTATATAATATGAGCTTTGAAATTTACTGCCTGAAATAATCGAGATTCTCCATCGAAACCTTTATATTTTCGAAACAATTATATTTTATAACAAATGTAGATTAAATATCTCATTTGTGAATTATGGACACGTAACAAACACGTAGTAACAGCAGATTTTTATTCCTACAGAATAATGTTTAATCTTCGATATAATTATCAAAGAATTATTTTTATCAGGGGACGATACTGAGATAACTTTCCAAGATAATTCATTTTCAATTGAACTGTTTACTTTTTAACACACGCAATCTTATTAATTTCTCCACATTTCAAGCAAAAGTTTAGAACAATTTAGATTGCAAATTCATATTTTAGGAAAGAATTTAAAACAGGATGACCATTCGTTTATTGCCATCTCTTTCTCTGTCCTCTGCCCCAGTCTGAATACTTAATGTCGTATAAAGTGAAAAACGGACAACATTCGGCATTGTGTTAACGGCTGGCGATGAAATTTCATCGCCCCCATTGCGAGCCTGCAACTTAGCATGCCCCAAAATTTAATATGCCGCGCGTCGGCGTTGCTTCGCGAAAGAATCCGACAAATGATCTACGACGAGCTCGTTCGTTTCATTTTCCATCCCCAGTTATGAAAAAAATCCTCGTTCTCTCGTGACTAGATAAAGCACAAAGATGGCAAGGATGTCACGATTCCATCTTGGGCCTGAATTATCGCGATAAACAGACGCCATGGGAGAAAAAAATAACGCATCAAGAATGTGTCGAGAACGTTTCTTCGCGCATATGAAAATTCGTCAATTCCTAAAACTCGTGAATCATGCTCACGTGCACGCGTTGAAAAAAAAAAAACAAAACAAGAAGCGTGAGTGGAAATTTCGTGTCGAATCTGATGTACCCTCGTGATTAAATTGCAACATTAAGAACGTGTAATTAAATCAATGCGCAGCCAATACAAACTCGAATGCAATTTATAAACGAGCCATTTTTAATTAACAGCCTGTTCAACGAAATTAATTTACAACGTTAATTTTGTACAACGACGCTTCTGCCTCAAGTTGTTGGAAAAAAACCTTCAATTCTGACAGAGTAGATGCAGCCACCTGCGGCAACAATGATTCAATTAATATTTCGTTAAATTGCCCCTTGTTGTTGTTACATTTGTCCCCTCGTGCCAGGTGAAACGTTGTGTCTGTGTTGTAATTAACAGTTGGAACAAAATAGCGAATTTCGCAAAGAACTTTAGAATTCGTCTCGAATCGCACAAAGGATGATTCGACTGGCACGAATTCGTTTATTTCGTTTTGACATTCCTTAGTAAAACTTAGTGCTTAACGCGTCGCAGCAGCCGCGAGAGCCGCGGAGGCACGCGTTGTTTCGTTTAATAAATTGCATTTCGCCTAATGAAATTTAATTAATTTCAAATTAATTTGTTAAAGTACGCCGGCAAAATTACTCGCCTTTCCTTCAGAGTGTCTCGCTTCTTTTCATTTCGACAGGCATTCAATTACCTCGTAACTCTTCGTTTGCTCGCGATCGAAAATAAGTTGTTCGTTTATGAATAACAGTTGATTTATGACGTCAGCCTGACATGAATGAAAATTGTTTTATTCAGCCGCTCTGATTTTCAATTTCCTCTCTTCTTTCATCTTCTTTCATTCTGCGCGCATTATCTATGCATATTCATTCGTTTCATGCATCCGTAATTAAGTCAAATAATGCTGTTTTATTTCGCCGCGTGTTGTACGTGAAATTACTCTCGACCGAAAAAACGAAAAAAGAAAAAAACGAAAGAAAGAAAGAAAAAAAGAACTGCGAGATATTAACTTGTTCGAGATATTATACGCGACAGTATAGAGTTGGGAAAGTAAATATTGTACTAACGCTATTTCTCTTGTATCGTCAAGTGACAGGTTCGAGTGGTGGCTGAAGTGTTTCCAATATACGAGTTTTTTTTAGTCTCTTCTTCAATTATTGATTTTCGGGATGAAACGACCTCGATATAACAAAACGTCCCTGAATCCGATCCGAAAGGCTTAAATCATGGAACAAAGAAAGTCACGGGACATTTTAATAGGTTTAAAACGCACGGTTCCGAAGAATTTAGAAAAAAAAAAAAATCGTTCTCGCGATTAGAAAGGAAGCAAAGGTTTCAGTTCGGATGGAACTTACGCGATATAAAAATAGAAATTTTAGAAACAGATGCGATTTATTCATTCAGTGTCAACGCTGGAACTATCGATGATTAAAGGCACAAAATTTTCATCAAAGATATTAAAGTAAAAAAAGAAAAAATAAATATGAGAAACTTTAAATTACTGTAAAATACACAAGCTTATATTCTACGAGAAATCATTCATACCTTGTGTTTTTCTATATAATTTCTAAGAAAGATTATAAATTGGTCATTTTGGCAGTTCTAGCGTTGCGACAATTATTGAATGTTACTCGATGAATAATATTATAACAATATTAAGTAGCTATTAAAGTTAAACCATATGAAGACCAATAACAATACTTTCCAATCAATTCGCGATATCTTTTAATGTTGAAATTCTCAATGTTACGAAAAGAAATTTGAAAAATCCTGTAATTATTGTGTTTTTATTTAGACTTTAGAATTTCACAAAATTTAGAGAAACTGAAGTATTTATAATATTATGGTAAATCACTGTTTGGTTCTCAGTGGATTGAATTCATGTTCTGAATATATTATTTAGTTGTAGCATTTACGTAAATAATTCATATCTCGAAGCTTGTTTACGTCTCCCTTTGGAACGAACAGTTAGAAAGCTGATTATTGCTAAGTTATTAAGTGTAATATCCGCTGATTTACCGAGTTATAAAGTAATGAAATATCTGTGCTTCGACCATCACCGTATTGAACTGTTTCATAAAACTAGTATCTAATACTTTTATTTATTCTATGGAATCTTTTAAAAAAAAAGAAAAAATAAAGAGTTTTCTTTCCATAAAAATTGCACGATAAAACAGAAATGTAACAAATAATAAATTGTACAATAAAACATAAATATACAATATGGGAACGAATATCTTCTCAAATGAAACACACAACCCCGCACGGAACTTTCCTTCAGAGCAAGAAGAATAATTACTTACGTTCTCCGGTTTAAATGTTACACAGTGCGGTTTAAATGACAAAGTGCTAATGAGCCATCAAAAAACATCTCGCCGTGATGACTCGCTTTCGTTCTTTCTTCGATGAATCTTATATATCGGCGAACAAGCAAACGGACGTAAACGGACGTACACGGACGATGCCGACGAATGCCGGTTTGTTCGAAGTGAAACTTAATTTAGCCGCTGGCCGACCATAATGCGAAAGATATCTCGACTACGTCTGGTAAATCATTCGCTACGAGTGACTGTTGCAATTTCCGACTTGACGTCGACTCCCATTCTGGATGACCGTGTCAGTGTTTCAGCGGTGCGTGCACGGCGCAGCGCCGGGGCGGGGAAGTAAGATATCGACGTGTCCGCGCGCGATCTTGAATAGAAAATATTGCCAGATCAATAATGCGGCGCCGTGGAATCCGAACTGGACCAGACCTCGGACCCATTGTCCCGCCCATTGTCCGTCAATCGCGTCGGGGACTTTTTTGCCGCGTGAAAAATACGGCTCGCGATATCGCCGCTTCCTCTGCCGATCGTTTCGTCGGTGGAAACATCGGGCGACTCTTTTCTACCCTTTTCTTTTCTTCCTTTTTTTAGTGAAAAGAAAAAAGAAGGGGGGAGGGGAGGGAAATTCCAAGAGTCGTAAAAAGTTTCATTGAGTCGCGAGAGATCGTGCTCGACACGGATGGATGCGAGGGATCGAAGGGGTCGAGGATCGGCGAGCGAGATAGACGCGGGATCGCCCTTTTTTTGAGATACCGGCGGCCAGATTTATAACGGGGCCGGTAACGAATTTTACCGGTGGCAAAGATTTGCAGCGATGCGGCGATAAGATTAGCGATTGATAAACGGTGTGCTAGGAATCCGTGTGCA